TTTCCGGCGGGTAAATGAGGTCACGAAGAAGGATGCCTACCCTGTAGCTAACATGACAGGCATTCTGGACGAGCTAAGACAAGCCAATTACATCTCGACACTCGATCTGAGTTCGGCATATTGGCAGATTCCGCTGGCTGAAAAGGCTAAAGGAATCACGGCTTTCACGGTACCTGGAAGAGGGTTTTTCCAGTTCGAACGCATGCCTTACGGGTTGACGAACGCCCCTGCAACCTTCGAGAGAGCANTTACCAAGCGTGGCCGCAATGTCCCTCGGGACATCCTCAAGGCCCAGGCGAAGGGGGCCAAGGAGAGAAGGCAGAGGGAGGGGGCATCATCATCCCTTCGCTCTGAGGAGGCTCGCAGGAGGAGACGCGAGATCAGGAACCTGCGTCGAAGGGCGCAGAAGTTGCACCTGGAGGAGGAGGAAAAGCCCTCCGAGGAGAATAGGGGCCCAGGGTCCACCTAGAGTGGACGGATGGTCCCGGACAGCTGCACTGGGCACAACGGAATAGATGTTTTTTTTTTGTTGTTGTAGGAATCGTGCCCGGGGAAGCTGAGGAGAAGAGTGGCCTGAAAAGGCCACCTGCACCATGAGAAAGGGTGAGAAGAGGCGCTCAAATGGTCTGAAACGACCATGGGGCGAGTAAGTGTCANTCGAGGAACACTTGGAGTGGCTGGGGAAAGTCCTCGACAAACTGAGGGACTACGGCTTATGTATCAACCGTGAGAAGAGCGTATTCTGCCGAAACGAGGTGAAATACTTCGGCTTCGTCGTGAACAGCGAAGGCTTGCAAGTCGACCCCGAGAAAACATCCGCGGTCGTCGAGTTTCCAGCCCCGAAGAACCTGAAGCAAGTGCNTTTGAAGGGCTGAATAGCCTGGAAAACGAGTGTTAGGGGCGAAAGCCCCACACAAAAAATTCCACGGGCACGTGCTCTGACACCTCCGAGTGTTAGAAGCACGAAATCGGGTAGTAGGCGACATCTAACGCCTCCCCGACGGGTATTTCCACGACAGGTAACTGGCCAGGGTAACTTATCCTTGGTCGGTAACTTGCCGTGGTCAGATNGCATGGTCGGGCTAGGCGCAGTGCTCACACAAGTACAAGGAGGAGAAGAGCGGGCGACAGCTNTCGGTAAAACATACCGACCGATGGAACCACGCCGATAAGTGGCACGCCGTTTGAAGGTAACTCCTTGAGAGAAGGGACTCCAACAGATGGCGCCACTCTACCCGAATTCGAGCAACCTGCGAACAGTTCGAATTTTAACGCGGAAAAATTCAAACAGAAGCGCGAAAGGAGGGAAATTCAAATTTCTTCCACTTTCGGAGGCCCTCGAAACCCGTCTCGGAGGGTTCCGAGGGGACATAGCGGGGTTTTTCCACGTATTTGACACCCGGGGCATCTGGAGAAGTAGCAGAGCACCCAAAATAGAGGGCGCTGCGGAGATTAAGCGGGGTAATCGGAAGATCTTCCCCGAGAATAGTAGTTTTACGAGGCTTTGGGGGTGATGCCGTAAGCAAGAGGTATCCGGGAAGCTTCGAGAGCAGAAATCGAGTAAAATCGAGAGGGCGCTGTCGAATGACGTNGAAAAAGTACACAGTTACTGAACAGGAGTGCTTAGCGGTCGTCTGGGCCGCACAGAAGTTCNAAGCTTCGAGAGCAGAAATCGAGTAAAATCGAGAGGGCGCTGTCGAATGACGTCGCAGCGGAGTGGGGATAGCCTCCCACTCCTGGGAAACGGGTATAAAAGGGGCTGCAGAAGCCCGAGAAGCTCTTTTTCTGCTACGAGACGTTAGGCTCAATAGNAGGGTACTCCTTCACCGTAATCACGGATCACAGCAGCTTGCGGTGGCTTCGTAACATGAACGACCCCGCCGGAAGGCTTGCGAGATGGAACCTGAGGCTGATGGAGTATGACTACAAAATCATACACCGAAAAGGCGGGTTACACCACGTGCATGACGCCCTGTCCCGCGCTCCAGAGGGCGCGACAGAGATCTTNTGTTGCATTTGAGAAATGCCTGTGAACCCGGAGGAAGAAACGTCGAGAAAATCGACTAAAAGGGAGCTCGAGTCCCAGACGAGAGGGGACTCGAGGGAGAACACGGAAGGGGAACCCCGACCGGAGAAGAGTGATCCCCCCGGGGGGGAGTACGTCGAAATCCTGGAGCATCGAGCCCCAGGGTCAAGCGGCAGGAAACGTGGCGAGGAGGATAACCTCGAGCGGATACCAAATCCGAATCAGGGAAGAGGCGGGTAAACCCAGGAAGTAAAGATTGGACCCTGCCGCTCCCAAAGGCACCTACTCGGGTGGGGGAAGAAGAGTTCTTTTCTCCTGCAGCGACACCCGGAGGGAAGGAAGAAGGAACAACGAGCCTGTCGGCAAATCCGGCCGTGTTAAGGGCCCTCCTGGAGCAAACTAAGCTCCTGGAGGAGAGAATCAATGGCTCTGGGACGCTAGAAGCACCCCCCTTTCCTCGGAAGAGGGGTAGGCCCCCAGGCTCTGGGAAGAAGAGTGGCANGTGGTCAACGAGGATCTCAACGAGTGGAAGCTAGTCTTGCCTCGAGAACTAAGACGCGAAGCCATTCGCGAAAATCACGATTTGCCGCAGGCCAGACACCAAGGAGTCGACAAGACCTGCCAATNAATGGCTCTGGGACGCTAGAAGCACCCCCCTTTCCTCGGAAGAGGGGTAGGCCCCCAGGCTCTGGGAAGAAGAGTGGCAAGAGCAGCAGAAATGCTAGTGGCGCCACCACGCCTACAGGGGAAGCCCCCGGGGTGACGGTAACAGAAGCCACCCCGACGCCAGCAGAGCTGTTGGAACGGGTTGCAGAGATTAGACAGAGAGTTACGGGGCCGAATAGGCCCTATGGGAATGGCCTCTGGAGGAAGACCAGGCCAGACCGAAACGTAGTGGAGGCCTGAGACGAGAGAGGAGCAACAGNTTGCCGCAGGCCAGACACCAAGGAGTCGACAAGACCTGCCAATGGCTGGCCAATCAATTCTACTGGCCAACGATGTTAGAAGACGTGATGACGTACGTACGTTCGTGTCACGAGTGTCAGCGCTGCAAAGTGCAAGAGCAGGCCCCAATCGGACAAATGGGGCCTCGAGCAATCGAGAAACCATGGNGAGAGAGGAGCAACAGCCACCCCGAAGGAGTCCATTCGAGGAGATGAGGAATAACTCATCGAGGCGAGGACGTTTTCGGACCTTCTCGGAGAGCAGTGACGGAGAATACCGCCCCCGGTGGGACACATACCTCAACACCCAAAAAGCCCTGGAGGCTTTGAAGAAGTGGGGAGTCGAGTTCGCCGGACGCAAGGATGACGATGTCGAGGATTTTATATCCCGTGTAGATGACGCCAGGGNTAGTCTTGCCTCGAGAACTAAGACGCGAAGCCATTCGCGAAAATCACGATTTGCCGCAGGCCAGACACCAAGGAGTCGACAAGACCTGCCAATGGCTGGCCAATCAATTCTACTGGCCAACGATGTTAGAAGACGTGATGACGTACGTACGTTCGTGTCACGAGTGTCAGCGCTGCAAAGTGCAAGAGCAGGCCCCAATCGGACAAATGGGGCCTCGAGCAATCGAGAAACCATGGTCTCGTATCTCAGCTGATATAATTCGCCCCTTTACACGCAGTAAATCGGGACACCAGTATATTCTAGTAATCCAGGAGNTGCGTGCCACGCATTCAGAGAGAACTTTGGGGAGCTAGACTATCAGGTAGATCTCCATGAATGNGGACAAATGGGGCCTCGAGCAATCGAGAAACCATGGTCTCGTATCTCAGCTGATATAATTCGCCCCTTTACACGCAGTAAATCGGGACACCAGTATATTCTAGTAATCCAGGAGTTCTTCACGAAGTGGATAGAGGTACGAGCCCTCCGCAAAGCTAACGGAGCGGCCATACGGAAAGCCTTAGAGGAGACGATCATCTATCGATGGAGAGCTCCTCGAGAATTGCTCACCGACAATGGAACCGAGTTCGTCAACAAGGACTTGAAAGCTCTCGCCGCTTCTACAAACATGAAGCACCGAACGACCCCGCCTTATCACCCACAAGCGAACCCCACCGAAAGAGTGAATCGTTCGCTAAAGGCAATAATCAGGGCGTATGTGGAAGCTGACCATCGAGATTGGGATTGTCATTTAGATGCGTCCAGATTCGCATATAACACAGCTCAACATAGCTCACTGAAAGCCAGTCCCGCTTTCGTCAACTTTGGCCACGAGCCAGAGCCCGCAAATTCACTGCGACGCAAGATCGAAGGAGACTTAGAAATTGAAGAGACCCCCCCAGAGGTTTGGGTGGAACGAATGAGACGCCACGACACCTTAAGACTGGCGTTCAAATACGCCTTGGCGGAAGCCAACGACAGACAGGCACAAGCTTATAACTTGCGCCAAAGAGCGGACGAATACGAGGTCGGCGAACTAGTCCTGGTTCGCAACCACGAGCTCTCGAGTGCTGCCAAGCATCGATCAGCATCATTGAACAAACCGTTCAATGGACCCTTCGTAGTCACGAAGAAACACTCCAGAAATTTCTACGAAGTCTCTGACCTAGCCGGCCGAAATTCCAAACGTGCGTCCATAGTGGACTTAAAGCCTTACAAGGAATCCCGAGACGATCCGCCGACCGGCGAGTCGGACGATGAGCTACTCCGGGAGCTGTAGACCTGAGGCCTTAGGTTTCAGGTCGAAACCTCTCCGACGAAGGGAGGTATGTCACGAGATTTTATCTCGTTCCGGGGTAAATATATTACCCTGCGGAAAAATAAGAGATATTAATAGAAAGACCTAAAAGAGAGAGAGAAAGGCAAGGAACGACATCTAGCGGCTAGCTGCAGAAGCTAAGCCGAAGATGAGAGAGACATCTGACGACGGCCGAGGGCCGCTCGGAAGGTGAGAAGACCATGAAACACTAATACTGAGATGCGCGGCTGGGCGTAGCCGCACCCCTCGGTATTACTGTAGGCTGTCGATACCCTGTCGCCATATCTAGAAACTCGCCCAGCTGTGTTAGGGAGTTCAGGGCCGACCTACAGGCGTTCCAACTGGTCAAATCTAGAGGCACTATCGACTTAGCCTAGGGACCAACGGCTAGGTGAAAGGACTAGCGCCCCCTCGATTGCCGTCGAGCTGATTGGTGGTGGTGTGGTAACAGAGGACCCACCGCCGCTGAGATGTTCAGACTAGGGGGAGAAGGCCCCAGGAGATTTCGAGACAGTCGGTGACAGGCGCTTGATTCGAGCGGATGGAATCGTCCGGTCCTCGATGATAGCTGGTAGTGGCTTCAATCCGTAAGGGTTCTTAAGAGGACGCTGTCTCTGAGAGTCAGAGACAGCGAGAGAGTGGGACGCTCAGCGTCCCATACGTAAAGAACAGAATTGCTTTGGAGTCATGGAATGCTTCGTTCCGTGATTCCAGGGATTCATGACCCGCGACG